GAGTGCCARTGGTGCAGGCAGGAAGCCTTGGCACCTGTAATGAGTAATCGGCTGCGTTTAGGTTTAACCAGCAGGGTTTAAATCTTGGACAGTTCTTTCCTCCTTGGGCAGCAGCTCGTGCAGCTTGGAGCCTCTCCCCGCCACAGCTCCATGGGGGTATCCAGCCCCCCGGCACTCTGCCAGGACCTTGGAGGCAAGGACCGCTTCCATGCGGGCTGCCAGGGCCGAGCTGGCACCAGCTGCAGGCAGTGCAGGCAGCGGGACCAGCTGCCCTGCGCTCCAGCCGGGTGCAGTGCGCGGCTGCAGGATACGGGATGCAGGATGTGGGATGCAGGATGTGGGATGCCCAGGGCTGGGTGCAGCAAGGCAGGCTGAGCAGATTGCTGCGGGCTCGCGGCGATGCCGGTTAGGTGCTTGGCAGGAGAAGTGTTTATTTTGCTGGCCGAATATCTCTGCAAACTTCCTGATTTGCTTGCGGCCGGCGAGGCAGCGATAGGGCTGGCGAGGCCGTTGGCTGCCCCTCGCTCCGGCGGCGGCTCCGAGCTGTTATCTCCAGCGCGCAGCGGGCAGGGAAGAGGTGGGGAAAGGGAAATGAAATACAACAGAGGTGCCACATTTTTTGCTCTTGATAACAAGCCCTGCTTTTAGCCTGGGAACTTGGAAACGATGCAGGTGGCCGGCGGTGGCCGCAATGTCCCCTGCTGCCCTGGTGCATCTGGACCTTGCAGCGAGTAACAGACGTGTCCGATGGGGCCCCTGTGGCAAAGCCCTAAGGGGCATCCTGGTTTTCCGGAGTGGTGGTGCTGTGCCGGAGGGCACAGCATTATCTCCTGCTAATTCCCATYGATTTTTGCAGGATCCGAGGTGCTGGAAGTGCAGTGCAAGCTAATTAAATCCCCATGGCTAAGGAGCCCTGTGTGGATGGGGCCGGCTGGCAGAGCCCGTGCCTAGTTTGGCGAGGAAGGGGGGCAAGCACAAACTCGTGCCGGGTGCTCCAGGCGCTGCATGGTGCCCTTGGCTCCAGAGGGATCCCATGGCACCCCCTCCTTGCGACTTCAATCACTGCCAGKGTGCCCAGGGCGCAGGGGCTGGCGATGCCACTCGCCCATCACAGCCCAGGAAGCAGAAAGCCCCAGGGAAGCTGCATCCCGAATCTCCCGTGCTGCAGCCCACCGGGGATTTTTCGGAGGCGGCGGAGCCGATAAGCAGCAGGGCCCGGTTTCCTGGCAAGTGCCGCAGAGCAGGAACGAATCGGCCAGCCAGGAAAACACGATTTTTTTGTTGTTGTTGTTGCTTTCCACCTAATGTTCATGAAAGCTGCACAAAAGCCGCTGCGATGGAGGGGATCTGYGGTGGGGATCTGTGGAGCTCAACATGGGCAATGGTCACGAGCCGGCAGCTCCGGGACCCGGTGGCTCCGGGACCCAGCGGCTCCGGGAAGCCAGGACCCCCGCGGGCGGGCGAGGGGGGAAACCAGGCACAAACGAGGCCCTTTCTTAAGCAGCACTGGCGAGAGGCGCTTCCTGCGCGGCAGATGTCCCGGCGGCGGATGCAGCTGCAGCGGGCGATAGCTGGCGTGGGCGAGCGGTCGTCGCCGGCCGCTGGCTCCCGCCCAGCCCTTATCTTGGCCGCACATTCCCTGCGGCGGGAATGCGGGAGCGGGGAGGGCCGGTGTGAGCGAGGCGGCACCAGGCTGGGTTTGGAGCCCAGGATGAGCACTGGGCTGCAGCYGTGGGCGTCGAGGGATGGGGAAACCCACCGGGGCGACGCTTTGGGGCTGAGATGGGGAGAGCTCCGGTGGGAGCCTGGCCAGCCGGATCCCTCCTCCCTGGGGACTGTCCCCGGGCACACGGTCCCTGTGCCACCCCCTCAGCAGCCRTGCATGCAGCAGCACATGCAGGGCAGAGCCGTGCAGGGCGACGACACCAAATCCTTAAAGCACAGGGAGCAGAGGGGCTGGAGCGCCTGCACCTCMGCCTGTACCCAGCTGCTGCGGTGTCCATCCGGCACCCATGCGATTGGCAAAAAAATTGCTGCAGAAATTTCCCGAAAACCTGCCTCCACAGGGGCCCGGTCCTGCCCGGCTCCGCCGCATCCGCGCCCCGCTCCAGATTTGCCGGGGCAGGATTGCCAGGGCGGATGTCGCTGCCTATCAGCTGCCCCCAGGCTGCTCTAATCTGCTAGGGAGCCCCGTCCTGCTCGTCCTGCTGCTCCGTCCTGGCCACGGGGCTGTCCCACACCCGGGCGGCCGCTGCAGCCCCGGTGGCACCGGCGGGCGCGGGGCACGAAGGGGTTAACCCCCCCGGGCAGTTTGCTCAGCGCCGGCAATGATTTAAAGCAGACAGAAAGGCTCTGCCATCCATCACGCTAACAGCCACATCATTGTGTTTTAAAGTGTCTGTAATTGCGGCAATACAGAGACCCTGAGGAAGATAAAGGCTGCGAAGATGCAAATGTGGGGCGGAAGGGGCGCAGGCTGGAGCCCGCGGGGATGGGCGCAGGGCGGTGCAGGATGCGGGGCCCTGCTGCCGTGCCCCCAYCCCAGTGAAGCTTGGGGGGGTTATTGCAGCCCATGGGGGTGCAGCAGGGGCAGGACGAGGGCCCAGAGCCCCTGTGGTTTGAGCACTGCTGTTTTTCCTAAAAATGCCACCCTCATCCCGCAGTGTCCGTGTCCCAGTCACCCCAGGGCACTTCTCATGTGGGGACTGTGCCCCGGGCCCYGTGCACGCGGCGGCGCGGTATGAACACGCCGCCTCCGCAGAAAGGCAGCTAACACAAATGTTTATTTTCACAGTAGTGAATTATGACTTCAATAGACCCAAATTACAGGCTGCGCGCGCCGAATGGAAACGAAGCAGACCCCGCCACCCAAACGCAGCCCCGGGGGACACGGCGCACGCTCCGCAGCCACCCTGGCTCCGAGCAGCCTCCGGCAACACTCGCCATGAGGCAGGAACTGGGAAGYCGGGTCCTTTCCCGTGGGATGTCCCTAAGAGGTGGCACAGGGGCTGCTTGTGTCAAGCAAGGGGACACATTGGTGATGGGCTGGAGAGGCAGCCAGGAATGCGCTTTGTGGGAGAGAGGACAGTGGAGCTGGATGGGGCAGGACAGGGGGAGCGGAGACTGCAGTGAATGTGCAGTGCCGATGCAATGAGTGTGCAGTGCAGTGCAGTGCCAACGCAATGAGCATGCAGTGACCAAGCAGCAGCTGTGCAGTGCGGATGCAATGAGCGTGCAGCGGCCATGCAGCAGCTGTGTGGCGCCAGTGCAGCACCAATGCAACGAGCAAGCAGTGGCCATGCAGCAGCTGCGCTGCAKCCAGTGCAGTGCCAATGCAACGAGCATGCAGCGGCCATGCAGTGCAAGTGATGCTGCCTGCCAAGGCTGCTGCAGCCTCCATGCTGGGGCGCAGCCCTGGGAGAGGGAGAGGATGACTAATAAGCAGGCGGCGAAGGCTCCTCACAGCAACGTGCAGGGGAAGGCGGCTGCCGAGCCCTGTAATTACGCAGAGAGGCAGGGCTTCGCCTCGCAGGGAAATTAGCAGCATCCCCGTTAGCGGTGCACCAGCGAGCAACAACATTGGAGTAGCATTTGGGGGCAGGGAGGGAAGTTTTCAGTCCCCTGGGTGCACAAGGCAGCTCAGCAGTGAGGAAAGGGCACAGGGAATGAGCGGGGACAGAAACGCTGCAAACGCTGCCATCCGCTCCTGCAGGCATCAGGCCCCCGTGCTGCTCTCCGCTGGCATTCCCTGCTCTCCGCTGGCATTCCTGCGGTTCCGGAGCTGTGCGTTGCCCTAGGGAGCTCGGCCAGGGGCTGCAGCAGGGGCTGGTGTGGGGGCAATGTTGGGCGCCTGCCCTGGCATCCATGTCCCTCCTGACCCATGAAGTGCCCCAAGCCCCGTGCAGCCCCCTGCAGCCCCCCGGCCCCTGCAGCCCCTCAGTCCTGTGCAGACCCCAGACCCCTGCAGCTGCCCAGTTTCAGGTGGTCTCAAAGCACTCTTCACACCCCTCACCTTGTGCACCCCGAGCACCCTGCAGCCCCCTGCCCCATGCAGCCCCCAGAATCCCTGCAGCCTCCTGCCCTCCTGCAACTCATGACTCTCCATCCCTTTGCAGCCCCCCTAAACCCTTTGCATCCCCAAGACCCCGTGCATCCGGCACAGCCTCCTTCCCCTGCATCTCCAGCCCCCCTGCATCCCCACAGCCTTAGCAGCCCCAGCTCCCTTTGCACCCCAAACCCCTTCACATCCCCAAGACCCCGTGCATCCCCCACCGTCTCCCGGCCCCATGCACCCCCCCACCCGCTGCACCACCCCCAGCCCTATGAACCCCCAAGCCCCTCTGCACCCCCAAGCCCCTTTGGATCCTAAAACCCCCGTTCA